AATGTGACAAACTAGAAGCAAATAGCAAGGAAATAAGAAGAACCATGTAGGATTTATGCTATGTGTAATCACCAGATTCAATGGATACAACATTTACTTATTCCCAATTTCGCTTCCTTACTAATTAAGCATATTTTGAAAAGTTTGATAAAATGTTTATTTCAAATACTTCTAGGTTAAAATTTTCTTTTCAACTATTTTTCATTGCAAGAGATGACTATAGATTAAAACGATACTAATTCAGAAAGTCACATTCGTTTGCTGGCAAGGTGAATCTACGCTAGTTCTTTTTAGCAATAGCAATAATCTTACCTATCATTATTTTACTATTAAAAATGTCGCATATTTATTTTCCACTTATTTATTGAATATTATCTACAGTTCTATGAAATTTTGTAAAACAGTCAGTGATTTATGAGAAAATACGTTTTTCTTTTTCTGGTTGATTTCTGTGGCAAATTTGCATAATTTTTTATACCAATAACATTTTACTAGATTTGTTTATGAACATCCACATGGAAGAGTGAATATCAACAAAGAATACACCAACTATTTTCAATTACAGATAACATTTCTCGTCGATGGAAAATGAAGGGAAAGTTTAGGAAGGATGACATTGAGCTCAGAATGGATAAAAAGTGAAGATGACATAAGCAATCTAGGTTGGTTTATTTTAGTCAAGAAATAGATAAGTGCATCATTTCGAACAAGAGAAATCAATCAACAAAAGGCTGCCGAATTCGTCTTGGCATGGCCCACAATTTTTTCAGTGTCCCACAAGTATGGAAAATCGAAAACAACAAAATTTGAACCCATGAAATTCTTAACTTCGAAGAAAATGGATCTTTTATTGCTTTTTTTTTTACAGAGGATAACAAGGATGCTCTGAGAATGCCATAAATGAAGCTTGGCTTATACCTTTGAAAACATTAATCATAAAAGAAAATCTCCATAAAAATAATGTGTTCGACAAATAAAATTGTTTTGTTGGTACTAAGCAAAGCTTGCATGCCCATGCCTTACCTGAAGTAAGCCGAGATCTCCATCATTTTTTACAGATGCAGCAAATAGGGAGGGAAGCAAAAGAGAGATAATAACTAATTAGAATGTTGGCAATTCCACTGCTTCAACGTATTGTTTTGAGTGAGCATAACGAATATTTCAAAAATTTTCGAATATTTTTCAACAATACTCACTTCAGTAACAATATTTTTAGTCCTTTTCGGTTTTCTTGACACTTGGTTTTGTTCAGTTTCAATAATAAATTTTTGCTTATCTGTTATTTACTTTTCGAAAATACTGAAATATAAAATCCAAAATGTACGCTTTAGAAAAGTTTGCTTTTGATGAACAATTATAAGCTGAAAAAGTGAAGCTGTCGAAACAGTCTTCAACTCATTTATAATCCTTTCTTAATATATTTTATAAGCCTGAGAGATGCAAAAAGCGTCTTTCCAGAATTGTTTCAGCTCTTGCACCTCCTTCCTCTTTTTTTAATTCTTATTTCTTTGTTAGCAGTTCTCTTTCCAATTATTGCTTCCATAAGTAAGCGCTAGAAAGATTTTGCAGCCGAAAGGAAACTGAATGTCACCATATGCATGTCATCAGCATATGTGGAATGATTCCTGCTTCGATAATGTGCTTAGTGAGATATTTCTTTGATGAATATATTACACAAAAAGCATAAAGACGATTTCTCACCGCTCTTCAGAAATCAAAATATCGATGCAGATGACACAGGAAAGGATTGATACGTCAATAGTGAGCTTTTTGTGGCAGCAATCAAATTACTGAGAAGAAAAAAAGCTATGCCAACGAATTATTGAATTAGTGAGAAATCGTTTGCTATTTTCAAATATGTTTACATTAAAAATGTCAGTCATTTTGTCAAATTTGTGGAAGGGAAGAAGATGAAACTACAATCGCTCCGAATAATTTGATTCGTTTTCTAAATGAAATGTCAACTTTTCAGAATAATGAACAAAATATGGGTCATCAACCAAACATCAGAATATTTTTAAAATGAGTGAGAGAATAAAATTTTATTATTCAACGTATTTTTATTTTTTGCAACTTTGTTATCCTTCTTTCTCTCACAATCAATTTTTTATTTAATTTGCTATGAAGATTGCTTTATTTGTGTTGAAAAAATAGATTCATTCATCGTATTTATAAAAAAAAAAAAAAAATCGGAAACAAAGTAATTTATAATTAAGCTAAGCTAAATATTTCTTTTTTCTTAATTAGACAATTCATGATAGTCCTAGTTGTACTCAAAGCAATTAGTGGTTTTTCTTATTGGATTGTTAAGCTATTTGTGATCAAACTTATGGAAAAACTGATCATACGATGAGTGGATGAAGCAAATTATTATTTCTTTCTCTTCTCTAAAACCGTTTCGTTAAACGAGCAAAACAAGAAGCTTAAGAACCAAACCGTTTAATCTTTAAAAATCAAACAACAATAATGGAACTATGTTTCTATCTATTAATTATCTTTCCAACTAATGCTACGACTACTAAATTTCGACGAGTCAGAATTGAGAATATTCCTATACATCACATCATCGCTACTCAAAAATTTGGAAAGTTTGTGTCCATAGGACTCGCTAAAATTTCAATCTTACCAGCATTGCATTTCGTGTTACTTCAGTTCAAGCTAATCTTTCCTATTTAAGCATCAAACCTTAATATTCTGTGGTCCAACGATTTCTTAGACTTTTTCACTTCCACTTCATTTCACTTAGAGGTACTTGGAGATAAAACCTATAAATACTAAAATTTGATTTAAATGCACTAAACCCGTATTTATCCCCAAAGCATTCCAAAGTCGAAAGATGATTATTTACGTCCTGGGCGACAACACGAGATTTCTGCAAAAATATTCCGTTCCCAAATTTATTAACGAGGAAGTATATTGTGCAAATTTATCTTTATGAATGCAATAATTCATGGTTTTAAAATAAATCAAAGCGAAAAATTCTTAAGTCTTTGAACGTGGGAGAATATTAAGACATTACGTTCAACAATGTTTGTAACAATGGCAGTGAAAAAAAAATAATAAATTTAGACATAGGTTCGGTAATTTCTGGGAATGTTAAAGTGTTCGAACTGAAATGCTGAAGATTTTAAAACATTGTCACAACCTAAGCGAATAGAAAGAATATTGTTGAAGTGAAAGAATAGATTAAAATGGAAGTTAATTTAATAGTATGTTAGAAGGTAGCATAAAATGCAAGGCAGTATGCATACTTAAAAAAGAAAAACTTCAGTTAACCCATATGCCTTACATGTGCTTCAACTGCAAATAATTCAAACTTCAATCAGACATGTTTTTCATATGTTTTTAATTATGAGTAGTCGATAAAGCAGGCTTCTATGCTATTGACCGTTTATTCACTTTAACAAAATGTGCATCATTAAATTCCTTAAAAACGACAGTGGTTGACAAGCTCACTATTTGTTAAGTAGATATTCCTTCGAAAGTTCTTTACAACCTGTTCAATTATGTTTTGTCTCGATTTTGCCTTACGATGCAAAAATGTCACAGTCTAATTCTTAAAAATGAAGTAGCACAGATCGACAATTTCAGAATAAAAAAGACATAATTAAATAACAGTTCAAATTTCCAAAACTTGAGAAAAAAGCCCATAAATGGAAATTCTCTGCCAACATTTTTTTTCCTAAAATTTCTATCAACTAAAAATGTGATTTTGATCATTGCCAATGATCGCCAATTAAACAGTCAAGGTTTATTTCTTGTATAACTCTTAATAATCACAGATTGGACATCTCTATATGCCGGATCCTGTCTAAATCATCTTGTGTACTTTTACTCATAAGATATACATTACTTGTTGGCTAATTGGCCCGTTAGGCATTCATATTAATCTCAGTTTTCCACAATCATTTCCAATATTCTTGAATTTCGAATGTGGTTTCTATAAACGATGTGAACAAAACATTTTAAACTTATTTAACTTATCCTTTTTTTAAAAGTTGTTTGAAACAACTTGGCTGATCTTATACTAATATCAACTGTCAAGTAAACTGAACTTCAATAACAAGAGAGTCCATGGCCACCGAAACTTAACAGTAATAATAGACAACAAATCACAAGATACCTGAACTACACGTAATGACTACAAACCACTAAAACATCCAGTTAATCTAACCAAAAACAACAAAAAAATTATTCCGTTGTTCTAAATGGGAACATTCAAATGAATGCCATTACAACTGCTATTTACGGAGTCAAATTAAATTTAAAAAAAAAGATAAATCATTATGGAAAGACATTTTAGAGCACTGCATGAAAAGAAAGAAACAATCTTGTGACAAAATCAGGTAATATATTAAGTAAAAAAAATAAAGAAAGATAAACAAATATGATTTTTACCGGTATTAGTATCTGGGTTCCTTCTATCCTAAAATTCAGGAATGAATTGTAGGAATCTCTCAAGAAGTTGGAAAGGAACGACCTTGAATCACTTTAACAAACAATATATTTCCTGCATTATTATTAAAATTGCCTAATTTTAAAAATTGCAATTTTTTTGCGGTTGACAATACGAAACAAAAAAACAAAACCATGGTAAGAACTTCTTTACCAATCAGAATTGAAATGCAGTGAACTTATAAGATTCTAAACTTATGCATTACATGATCCATGATTTTAGCAATTTTATAAAATGGCTTACTTAAATATTAACTGGATACTAAGCGAGTGAATGGCTGGCCAGATTTTGAAACATCACAAGTTGTTCATTACTAAAAGATATCATTCAATTTGCATAGAAAGAGATAAGTTCAGAAGAATAAAAAAGAAAAAAAAAAACAAAATGCAGACGTTATGTACAAATTCTATACAAATTATGGCATGAAGACAATGGGCAGTGTATTTGTATTGCATTGGACAACAAAACTGATTGAAAATTTCAAGTTAGCCTTTAATAACCGCTTCACATCCACTTCAGACTAATGCCTTCGTTGGTCCAATCCTCAAACGTACTTTGCAAAGAATGACATCTCATCTGAAAATATCGGTTTTACGATGAGTTCCACCATAACAATGATATTTTGCAAGAATTGCTAAGCGAGATGAAAAAAGGGTGCTTCAACTCATAAATGTTACATAGCAGAAACATAGGCAAAAACGCTAAACACATTTCTAATGTCTTAAATAGTAATCGATAACGGTTAATAATTTTCACAATAACTCCTTTAAATAATGTACTGTTTACGATCATATCAAACAATTCACTTCCTATTCGAAAATGAGTTAATATTAGTTCTGATTCATCCCCCCTACTTCGCTCTCTCTTCTTGAACAATTATTCAATGAATGGCAATTATTTCAATTTACATAAAATAACTAAATTTACATCAGCTTCGCAAATATATCACAAAATAACAAACCAACAAAACATTCGCAGGACACTCGTACATTAAGATTGAATTTTTGCCATATTTGACAATCGTCTGTGCCGACATTCTTCAATACAACGAAATTCATATGCTTCTGCGTGCATTTCCCATGAGCTGAAATACCGTTTTATTTTAAACTAGCAAAATCAGTTCGATAATCAATATGAAAAAAGAGAAGACAATACAAATGGTTCTGGATTTCAGAAAAATAATAAGTCGATGATATCATGTCTACGTAGTTGCGTAAAAATAAAAAAACATGCAGCTGTTTAGATGAAGTGAAAATGAACACAAACGCACGGAAATCATAAAAATAAAGACAAGCTTTGTCGTCATCACACATCACTTCATTGATAAATGGTGGAAAAAATGTATCCGGTAGTCGACGTATCGCTTGGCAAGCACCACACAACCTTAGATAACCATCTTCCTCACCACCTCGCTTATCACATCCAAATGGTATTACATGAACATCTCCTAAAATCAAAAAGAAAAAAAAGTAGAGCTTGAGGACCATACTTAGATTCTTAAAATAATCTAAGATTTTAGTAAAGCTAATTTGTTGAAATTGCGTAAACTTATTAAAAACTTAGAAGGAATTTTTTCAATCCTGTACTGAAGTGATACGTTTCGAATTCTTTGTTTTAAAAAAGCAAACCGACGAAAAATAACCAATAAGTTTCTGGCGTTTGCGCATTATTAGATCTCCTCTGGTATGAGCATCAACGACTCCAGATGCTATCAAAGAATCGATGACACTCTCAGCAGCTCCACGTTTGTTCCGCTCTAGTTCGGAATCCATCATACGTATAGATGGCGAAATGACCGTTCGTCTACTTTCTGTCCTACATAAATTTTTCCAAAACCAAACACATTATGTGTGGAAGAGCAGAAAAAAACAGCCTATCCCAGCAGTATTCTAGAGTCTCATTTTTTGCGAAAGCGAACAAATTTAGACTGCCATAGGCATAGCCATTTTTATTTCAATATAATTTGCAAAATCTATTGTCCTATTATTTAACTTTTTTATTCGAGAGTAAAAGAATTTCATATTACGATTTATTTGTGATAATATATTTCAATTTAAACTCGGCTTGCACGTTGCTAATTCGATTGATTTTTCTTGTTACTGATGTGGCAGAGATGCTATTACTGCTAGCAAATGTTCCATTAAATAGAAGACACGACATTCATTTACAGGAAACTTTTAAAAAACGTGTTTGGTGTTGGAAATAATAAAAAAGTGGCGATGGTAGTGGAAGTGTGAGATATGTTGCGAACTCTCACGATGTCAGATTTTGCAGCCGCGAAATGACCGAAGGCGAACGTACATCACATTCAATATTTAATTCCGACAATATCCGTTCCAGCGCCTCCACATTACGTTCCATTGTTTCTTCGACACTTAGACGAGTTTTTGATTGTCTCTACAACATTATAATTTTTACTTCAAAAAAAAATATTTCAAAAGATTTCTGACTCACTTTAATTTTTCAAAAGTTTGATAATTGCTTTCTTGTCTGATTTTGCACAGATTAACATACTTACTTCATACTGGTCACCAATAGAGCGATCTAAAAAACGAATAATTCCAGATGCATCCCACGCCATCAAATCAGGGTTATATGTTCCTTTCTGCTTCAGTTCATTAACCAATTCCTGTTGCGATAACTGACGACATTCCTCAGCTGTACTGTTTCTCTTGAATGATGGACAGTTGAAAATGCTTTATATGATCAAAAATTTCTGACCTTTTTTTAATATTAAAATTTTTATACCAGAAAGTATTACTCTCGGAACAAATGGTCTACGCCGTTTCTGAAGAATTTCTTCATCATCAGTTTCACTAAGCGTACGGTTTAGCTCTTCTTCACGTGCCAGACGTATCGCTTTGAGACGATCCAAAAAAAATGTCGATTCACGATTGGGAAGTGATGCTGATACAGGAGAATAGCGTTTTTGACGTGATACTCGTGCCAGTTCACCGTTCACCTTTTGCAATAAGGAGCGGTAATGTCGCTTACAGCTTAACAATTCGCTCTCTGAAAACTTTACCTCATCAATTGATTAAACCGAAATTCATTCGACTAGAATTTGAAATATGATAGCGCAAATGACAACTGAGGATGATATTCACAAACATTAATGTTGAAAAATTGAATTTTTAAATAACCTGATGCTGATGAGAGATCAGTTTGTGTACACTCGTCTTGCTGATGTTGATCGGTTATTAACATCACACTTTGAACAGTAGTGGACAATAGCATCGTGATGAAACAAATACGAAATGCCGCCGAGGTACAGAATATTGACAAAAAGGTCGTTTCCTTAGGAGCAAGTAAAATTACACCTGAGATTGCCCTACACTTCCAGTTGTCCATCACGCGGTGATTGTTCCACACAAGCATTAGTTCACCTCTACCGTGGTCGCTTTGCATAAATCCAACTGTGCCACCGGGTACTGGTACACATTTGATGTCTGTAAATAGTGAAAACAAATCATCGATTTACCGGAAGTTAACAATATCAATTCTTGTTTACAAATTTTCCAGACGACAAAATGAAGCACTGCGAATATCAGTATCTTCAAAGTATCACCAATATTTTTTGAAGAATGGGGCATAACTACTTGCTACTACCACTTTGCTACCTCGCTTTCGTCCTTTTATTAGGTACTCTTCTCTGGTAGCAAAGTTGTTTTGAATCGTCCTTCGACATCCTAGAAAGCGCTATTAGTTCACGTAGAACCTTTTTTGCTCACTATAACCCAAATCATTTTGTTCACCATCGATCACACATTGTCAGGAGGCTAAATTTTAAGTGATGACAAACGCTACAGCATGGTACGTCAGCGATCACAAAAAAGGAGAAAGCAGGGCAATGGATCAACAAGGAATTGACCATATCGCTGTGATAGAGTTGGTACATATGAAAACAACTGGCAGTAATGGTTTGACTGGCAAATCTGCTTCATTCATATAAAATGTAATGAAGAATGCTTGAAATTTATACCAGAGAACAGCAAACAAAAATATTAGCATAAAAATTAAGGAAATTGGAAGGATAACGACAAATATCAGCGTTAAAAAGAGATTCGTCTGTTATTGCAGCAGAATGGGATGGATCGGATAGCAGCGATCAGCCCCGCGAGGGAACATTGTCGTGGAGAGAGGGCGATTGCATCTCATCATCACCATCGCAACTGTCACCCTGGTCGCTGATAGCACCAGCATCATCACTGTCACCATCATCACATCATCGTCGTCAGCATCATTATCAATCATCATCAATCATCATCATCATCAGCAGCAGCATAATAGTAGTAGTTACAGACTTCCATACAAGTGAAAAGGCGATCACAATGACGTTTGGCCGTATCATTTTGATCCCATTTTCAAGAAATAACGTTATTCCACCAATACTCGTCGACCCGTTCTTAATCCATTTTGCAGCAGTCACAAATATTCAACAAAATGCATCTCCGTCCGCATCCTTCTTGTCTCTTTTGCACATCTTATCTGTTCCATGTATCCGTACAACATTTCCTCCCAATGATTTTTTTTTTTTTTTTATAACTGAAGGAAATCTGATTTTCACGACAATCTTCTCGCACTTATTTGTAGTAGAAATGTTCAATTATCCCTTTAAGTGAATATTTACCAATCGGAAAAAGTGATTTGCATCCGAACAGGCCTGACGACAATTGTACTTCACAGCTGCAATACTTGATGATTTCCTTTCAGAAAGTTTGAAAATGAACAAATCGAAAAATTTTTATACAGCCAAAAAAAAAAAATCTAGTATTTCTATGTTATTTGAACAGCTACAAAGAAATATTTGCTGTTAACCTGCAGGTTTCACATTAAGATTATTTTCTTTTGATTGGATTTCACTTCATAAAAAAACACTTATTAAAATTCCACGAGAAATCTTCATTTCGATAGAGATTTGTTCAAGGACGATTGATACCTTAGGATGCAAGAAAAAATATGGATTATTTTTAAAGCAATATTTGAATATCAGATTATATCAAACCACAGAATTTGTTGCAGTAATTGTTTCAATAATTGCTACAGTATCTGACCATTGTTTAAGAAATTTCTGGAAGTTTCCTTCAAACTTCTTGCTATTGTTATGAAGTTCCTGAATTAAAACAAATTATTATAGGAAGAATACGAAAAAAAGAAGTGGAAGAAACGACTAGGAAGAATTGTATGTCTTGTAATCCATCTGTAGAATTTGTATAGTCAGATAAAGAATATCCGGGAAGAGATAAGTTATATTTAAATATTTGGTTCTTTGTTTTGCGTATAGAAAAAGCGCAGTAATGACTGCTGAGAACTGTTTGAATTTCAAGTAAAAAGCATTGAAATTCAGGACTATTTCCATTACTCGATTCCAAGCTAAGTACGATTTTTAAAAGTTCAAGTTTTCTGGCTAGCAAGATTTTGAATCTTCTTTAAGTAATAATTATCTGTTACAATTGTTTTCTTCAATTTTTAATAATTTATTTTTCGAGACTCCTAATGCTATAATGAAAGAAAAAAATGTTCCATTTAACTTTAAGCTTAGAAAGTGAAGCAGAGATCAAAATTTAATATTCATTTGAAGCAAAGTATATGGAGGTGCAATAATTCATATTAACCATACGATAGGAAATGAATTGATTGAAGTGGTTTTAATAGATATTTTCATCCCGAGAAAAATGAGCATACTGCTATGCTACTACAATATAAACGTTTAATAGCGGCTGTTCCTACAAAATCTATTGGTAATGTCAGTATATTTTAAGTATAAAGCATTAAAATCGATAGTCAGAAAGATTAAAATCGACAATGTTAAGTTGGTATTGACCATTATTAATTTTAATATTTTATCGATCAGAAACGCTCTACATGGATTCATGAGATGAGTTTGATGTCAGTCACTAAATTATACCTGCACGTGATGCTTAGATTTTTAATATTCTGCTTAGCGTTTAATAATGTTTTTTAGACTCGGTCAAAGTTTTACAGATGAGTTCAAAATTTCACGCTTTCAACTTTTCAGTTGGATTATGTCTATGTTATGATGAAGAAATAAAAGAGGATTCTTTGAAAGGAATCAGAATCGGGATTTTGAGAACTTCGCGGATTAAATTTGAAATATCTGAATTTCTTGGAATACCTGGATTTTTATTATTTTAATTGGGAAAACTATTATTTATTGAAGTCAGTTTTGACGGATATTCCGTTTGATCTTATATGTATATATATATATGTTGCACAGTGAAGTCAAAATGAATCAGTGTTTTAAGGGAAGCTGAAGTATAATGCATTTCAAACGACGGGAAATTTTTTTCGAAAGGTTTTCGAGCATTAATTGAGAAATGAAAGTGCAGGAATTTGAAAATATCCAGAATCAACAGAAGAGATTGAAAGGTAACATATGACGATCGGTTTTCTGCACTTTAGCATTAAAATTGCTTTCAAAAATAATGAGAAATACTTGAGCTTCAGTTGCTTTGTGCCACTACGAACTACTCATTTTTGGTACTTCTCACTTTATTTCAAACAACAGTGAAATTTCCTTAAATCCTCAATTTTTTTCTATACCAATTGAAAGCAAAAACTACTTGTGTCCTTTAAAAAAGTTTTTCTCTTTCTTTTAGCACATAAGTTTTTATTACAAGTTATGAAGGCATACATCCAAATTAATTATGAAGTACAATTGTGCCAAATATATTGTTTCTTGTCTTATATAAAAAGACTATTTCCCATTTTGGCATTTTTGCTGGCTGATATTTCATAAGAAAGATTTGGTAATTGTGCAAGTGAGAACTATTACTGTGATAGTTAGAAGGTTTGCTGCTAAGACAAACATTGATAAAGCCGATAAAAATAATAGAAATTGGTAGTCAATATAGTTCCTCCCATAAACTGTTATCATAATTGTTAGAGGACCATCGATCATTGTGTAATCTAAATTTATTAAAATCATATCGTTTAATGAAGAATGGTATTTATTAAATGATGATATTCAAGTTCAAAGTATACATTGGAGTAAAGGGGATATCGGGAAACTTGTTTACTTGTTTAAGCCAAGCAAGAAAGCATCAGCAATTACATACATATACGGTAATAAGCGTCAAAAAAATTACCTCCTATTCTGTTCATTCAGAACATTCCTTAACTTTAATTTTTTTTTTCTCACAAATTGCTTGATCCGTTTGAGTTATTCAAGATATTTTGCATTATTACAATCCTTCAGAGTCTAAGTATTTTTCCATTTGTCTGCATTTGTCACATGCAAATTTAAGCTTCTTACACTCTGCGAGTTTTTATCATTTCAATGTTTAGCCAACTGCTTGCTACCTTTCATTGATGAGCACCAAATAAATGTGATAATAAATGATGTCTAAAGTTTCCAATAAGTGATTATATGTTACCTTAGCAAATTATATATATTACTATTTGGTGATGTTTAAGCACAAACGTCGATGATCCTTGATGTTTACGTTTTCGCTTTTTCAGCTGTTAAACATTCATTGGTGCGATGAAAAGTTAAGGTTTCCATTCACTTCAGATGGCTTCTGTTAGATGAAATTAATTAAAACGACAGTGTTTGAAGTAACTAATCTCATGACTGACTGGCAGGTGAAACTTTTTTTATTTTTAGACAAATAATATTCCAAAATTTTTGCATCATTTTCATAAAGAGTATATTGCATTTTTATATATTCAAAAAAGAAAAAAAAAAAGAAAAGTAATCCATTTGTTAAATCCAGTTGAAATGTTTTCATAAACCTTTTTAACTTTTTATTTAGATTATTTCAATTTCTAAGATGTTGAATTTATTCATGCATAGCTGATGGAGTTGCATGATTAGCTTAGGTGCCATTATCGAATTTAATGTTCAATTATTCAGTTCAAACTGAATCATACACTCTAATCACGGACACGGTTTATTACTTGCTTCAGATCAAATAAAATTAATTTGTAAGCAGTGAAAGTTTGTCGCATATCATAATGCAAGGGTGTTCCTAAATTCATTAAATTCTATGTTGTGCGTTTGTATGGATTCGCAAATTTAAAAGTAAATATTTGATATTTTGTAAATATTTTGTAATATTTTGAAGTAAATTTACACTGTTATTTCTCCAACCATTAACTTCACTCCCTTTTAAATGAAATGATAATGGCATAAAGGTAAGTGAGAAAATTTTTCAAGTTTTTAAAACCTTATAGAACTTAATGGTTCAAAAAACATGCTGAAGTTATAGTTGTGCCAATAATTTATAATGTTACTTGGATGAATGCGTTACAGTTTTTCAAGCTAATAAAATTAACTACAATTCACCAGAAAACTTCGCTACTTATTTTCCTTCATTTTCTAATTTGAAAACTGAAACATAAAGTATATAACAAATTTAATTTTATATTATCTATTAAACGGAGATACGAAATATTTATACAATTCTTTTAAATTTCATTTTGGATAGTTTTCATATTGATTTGCAATCTCTGTCCATTATTCATTCTTTTTATTTCCTAAATCATTTTTGACAGCAACAAGTGAATCATCTGTAGTAGTGCAGCCGAAATTAATATCAACTTTAGGAATCATTATAAATTTTCGTGAAATTAAACTACTGTGCATTAATTTGTCAGTACGATACGTTTTCATAATTTTGTACAGTTCTCCGTAATTGTGTATGTCTCCGGTCTTATTTAATTATGTAGCGCTTCCGTGATGTAATTTTACAATGAATTATATTTGTGCCAATAATTTATAATGTGATTTGCAGATAAAAAGGATTAGAAAAAGTAGGAATTATGTATGAATGTAAAAACAGATCGAATTCTGCTTTGAATGCTAACAAATTGCAGGACCTGAAGAAAAATGAAGGATTACTTGCAGTGCAGGAAAGTCATTTTCATGGCACTGAAGGCTGGAAAAAGAAAAAGAAGCGAATTTATGCAAAAATGAGAGCAGTTGGACGAGTTAATTGGGCGCTAAGTATGGCGAGGACACTTGTAAGTTTTTTTGATGTGGATGTCGTCTTAACCCATAATTTGGAACTTCATTGAAAATGATCCTAATCATTCGAAGTTTTTCACCTGCTGTTCTAATAGGCATTTAATAAGAAGTTAATTTATTTGAATATTAAATTTCTGTAATGTTATAAGTAGCGATTTAATATCAAAACATTCAAAATGTAAAAGACAACAGTTTTAAATGATGTATAATTATCGGTTCATCATAAGTTATATGGATAATTATTTTACAGCAGTTAAGACAAATTCATTTTACATAAAAGTCAATTACATTAGTTCTATCATCGAGACTGCTTGGTCACTCATTACTGACCATCTGATGAAATTATGCAATACCATGAGTTGTCACAACATTCTCGTCCAACTTTTTTTGCTTGATTTAAGCTTTCGATGATTCAAGTATTCCGCTTTAGTGGACCATAGCAGTGTTTTTCCAATCAATTTGAAGCGTCTATTCTTCTGTGATTCTGGTCGCAATTATTTTTACATCGAAATGAAGCGTACAGATTAAATTTCACAGAAGGAAAGTATGGATGAAAATTTCTACTTATATATACTTATCGCGGATGCAATATATTATTTCAAGAGAATTTTTCTTTAGCAAATTTAATGCTCAAGCAAGCAATAATCTTTATCTTAGCTTAGGCATTAACAACTAATCTGAAATCGATAAGTATTAAATGCCTTTTTTTTATTACAAAATAAACTATAAAATTAAACAGAACTGATTGCTGGCTAAGTCAAATGATTTGCTTGTTATCTATTTCACTGTTATATTAGTAAGCCAAGTTTGCCGTTGTTTAGTTCTCACATCTGTGAGTGTGAGTTAGCTATGCTTCTTCTCACAGGCATTTAAAGTAATTTACTTTTAGATTATTATTATTTTACACCAATAATTAAGTTAAACGGTTAAATCATATCATAGCATTCAAAAATCGCCTTATTTGAAATATCCTAGAACTTCTTCCAATGCACATAGATGCAGAGCAGATTTCTAAGCAAAGAAATGTAAATTTTCATCATCATTGAATCATTTGGTGGTGAAATGTATTGCTGTGAATGAGTGGTCATAGCCACTTAATCTTGCTGCTAAACTTTTCCCAAAAAAATTGCCGTTCTCATTTTTCAATTTATTTTAAACTGTCATCGAGTAATAAGATCTATCTGTGCGTGTGTGAGTCTATGTAAACCCACTACTGAATGGTGTTACACAGTTGATGGTGCAACGGCATTAAAAAAGAGAAAAAACTCCGAACAAATTCAAACCTCATCTCTTCGCTTGCCAACCATTGATACCAGACTATGGATTACTGATCTCTGTATATCTCTACCATTTATATTCGGATCCATAATACGTCACTGTTCTTGTATTACTTCATATTACTTCTTATGATGATATATATCAATTAGCATAGATCGATCCTAATATTTATCAAGTTTACCTTCTGTCAACAGTATTCTTTCTTATTTCCAATTACCTTTTTACTGTTTGTTAAGAACTATTTCAGCTGCACAGCCAATTATCGTCGGTCACCGAATGTCACCAGTTTCTGTTTTTTTGATATTATTCCATTTCTAGCCAAAAATATACATATATTCTCTGTATCGTGGCACTTCCTTACACCTACAATTTGCAGAATTTAGCATCAGAAAACTTCAATTGGATTCAGTAACTGAATGACTATTGTTACGCCAAAAATTCAGCACTTATTTTTACACTCCATCTTATCTCCCGCTTCCAGGCAATAATATTTCAACTACTTGTTCACCTGAAATGAATCGACGAAATGTGCTTCCTAATATTACTGTAATGGCAGTTCCAGAAGTAGTAAGTTATTCTTTATCACTATAAGCAAACTTTTAGAAATAAAAAGACTTTCACTATAAACTAGCTAACCGATAGCAAAAGTTGAACTCAAGTATTTTCAAAAATACTTGAGTTTGAAATTACTTTCACTGTAGTTCTTCCATAATCCAATGTCGCTTTCAAAGCATCGTTTACTATGCAGTCACATAAAAGATGAAGCAGAAAAGATTTTTCCCTCATTTTAGTAAATATTTTGCTTACCAAAATAAAGCTTAACTAGTTCGTATTTCACAACGTTGAAGCCAAAACAAGTCGTTCAGTCTTTGTAATTCATAAATGCGCCAAGTAAAATGGATTATTGTTGTTAATTGAACCTAAGATTTGCTAATTTCCAACCGTCACTACGCTTTTGCATTGACACTCTATTACTTCCTTTGTCTTACTATTCTCACGGCCTTCTAAATTTTCACCTACAGAAATAAATGGGTGTGATTCTATAGCTGTTTCTGATTTCAGCTTTATTTCACCACTTTTTTTTTCGATGTTACACTTTCTTATCTGACAGTGTCATACAAATATGATTATTTAACATTTCTGAACATTCTTTGTTGACTAACAGTGGATAATTTTCTTTGACACTTACCGTTGACCTCCGACACTTTATCACATTCTCATGTTCAAAAGAGAATCTACTTGCAACTTTTCACTCAAAAAAAAAAAGCGTTTGACTCATCTAACAAGGAAAGAACTTATAAAAAATGCTGGAACTTGTTTTCTTGCAACTACTGAAAAAAATCAGTCAGTGGATGACTTCATATTTGTTTTATCTTTTTAATGACTTTCACTAGTCGTCACTAAGATTCCCAAACAAATATTTCTTCTTTTGTTCGTTTTTCAAACGAAGATTTATGAATCTTAGTTGCCATCCGAACAAAAATTTGCAACCTCCTAAAAGAGCATCTTCTTTTTTCTAATCATGAACTTTAATTCATTAATATTCATGTTTTCCCTTTATTTTTCTTTGATAGAAGTAAAGAATAAATTGGAAAATTCAATGAAAATTTTAAAATTACGGTTAGAATTGATGGACAGTATACCAATTTATTGGTTAATATATTTTAAGTAGGAAATTCGATAGGTTTTTGGAATGAAATATTTGCAATGAAGTCTGTTGAAGCGACTGATTCGAGATATATGTGACTCGGACGTTTAATGTCGGGTTCAGCTGATAATGAATAAATTATCTGCAAACAATAGGACTTGAGTACTTCGTACTTCATGCACAGTGAATGCTAAACGTTCGATCTATGTTACGCCGAAGATAAGCAGTGTAAATGTTAATGTAGGAAGTAGTGTAGGAAAAGAAGGAAGACGAATAGAAGAATTTGCAATTTAAAGTTGTTTTGCAATCAGGAAATACATGAGGAAGTACAGATGGTTGCTAAATTGCCACCTGCAGTTGCCTCGTATTTTCCAACTCATTTTGCTGCTCGCGTGCTAGCAGGCGTGCTATGATCAGTGCGTGTCTACTGCACACAACTACTCCATCTAGCATTCAGCATCTATCCATTACATTTATACCTCCATTTTATTCTGCAATGAATCTTCTCTTTTCAGTTTTTTTTTTTTTTGTTTTATACTTTAAAATCAGTCTTTAGAAACTCACTTAAATCGTTTAATCACAATATTAGAATATTTGGTGTACAGCCAACACTTTCTATCATAAATTTCTTTTGAAACTTCTTTCAGTCTTCTCTGTAATTAATTAATTAATTAATGGAACCATCTTCATTTTACATAAATCCATTCAATGTATAATTATTAAACATTATTCTTTCCTTTACAGATTTTGTATCTTAATTCATATTCATCTCTTGTTATTTTCCTCTTAATCAATTATTTTTACTTATTATGAACATTTTTATTGGATAGTAAATCAATTATTTTCTTACTTATCATGAACATTTTTAATGGAACTAAAATGAACTTTTTTACGAGACTAATAAATTCCCTTGTGTTAGAATAAAGGCTGGAAAAATAGTTTAGTAAGCGCAGTTGGCGCAAGCCAACCTACCATGAATGATTTCTTGTGAATGATTTTCATGTACCGGATATTTGCATGTCTGTCCTAGTTCAACTCTTTACTTCATTCTGCTTTTTTTTTTCATTTTTTTTATAGCAGAACATTTGATGAACAAGTACATAAGTAAATGTGGCATGAATTCACTGAGTGCTCTTATCATTAGTCTACAACGCCATCATTCTAGCTAACGCCATGATCCATCTTTGTATAAAAAAACGTGTCACTCAAACTTGTTCTCAGTTGATTAAATGAAGTGAGTGATTTTATGGTACTACTAAAATCGTAGTGAAAAATGGCAGCCCTCTACGATATGACCCGTCGCTTAACAAAGCATCAAATTGATAGCTTCACCAAAAAAATGGAGGAAGACGAACTGTCGACAGTTTCATTAGGCAATGTCGTTGTTAGTCATTACTGTGGTATCATATTTATCAATGTTCAATTTTTTTTTTAATTGAAATTTCATGCATCAACAATTCATGAGAAAAATTAAAATGTATTGACACAATTAACATCATCATTATTATTGTTGTGTAAAACTCACTGGAATCTTTCGCATCCCATCAGCTATTTTGCCTTTTTAGCAGCATTCAGAAGTTATTCTGATGGATGTACAGAGGGCAAAGAGAGCTTGTCAAGTTCTTAGCTGTTGTGCAAAGCATTAAAATGAAGAAGAACACATTATAGAAATTAATCAGACAGTGATAGATTTCGCTGACTGCAATGCATAGTATTAATTTTTTATTTGTAAACGTCATGACATTTGAATTTTTAAATAAAAAATGAAATTCGATTTTTTTTCGTTTCAATTGTCTTCTCTGGATCTTTTGCAGACAGTCGAAAAATTACCGGACAAAATGCTCCAAGCGATATTTTCATATCTTTCACCTTATCAAGTGCTCATTGTTGGACAAGTTTGTAGGCGCTGGAAGGAAATTGCTCAGAGTCCATCGCTGTGGCACCTTATCTCTTTTCGCCCATCATACGGTGGTTTACAAGTTAGCGCCTTATGTTCTAAGGGTTTCATAGTCAAACTATTTTAATTTAAAGTTCTTTTTTCCGATTTTTTTCTGCTGATTTGTTCACTTAGCTTGCTTAGTTATGCCTGTTTACCACACAAAAACTGAAAATTCAATCGTGTGATGATAACAAAGCATGAAATATGATATAAAGTTTTTTGAGGACATTTTTTTAGGTAACCAATCAAGAATATTTGCTGCACTTGATTGGATCACGTTTTACAGAGTTACGAGTGATTGAGCTAGCAACTGATTTGATAACACCTAACGTGCTTCATGAATTAGCTGCTCGGTGTCCTCAACTTTGGTCTATGACATTAGGTAAGACCTCTTCTGACCGTTTATGATTTAGTATCTAATCTTTTCAAGTTCTAAAAACTTCTGAAAGTCTAGTAAAATGCAGTTATTGTCGAGTAAATTTGCAAAATCTATCTGATCATTTAATACAAAACTTTTTAATGGCAAAAAAAAAAAAGTTGCTGTCTACTAATGCCTTATGTGATCTACTAATTAATAAAATAGATGGTTGGAATCATTTGATGATTTGGTGGCATGTGGTACAAAGCTGCGGTCTTGCTTAAAATTTCTAAGGCAAGTGACCCATTACAACTGGGCACCATTTAACTATTTGTTTGAAAGTTATCAGTATATCTGTTCGAGATCAAATTCACAAGTATTGCTCTTATTATGTCGGTTTCATCCATTGTTTATTAACTTTACTTATTTGCCAGATTTCTCAACAGCGATGCAACTACACGATTTCTCAGATTTGCAAAGTTTTCCGAGCAGATTACGTTCACTAACAATATGTTTGAGTGGGAATATTTTCCTGGAAGGATTTTTGAGGAAAGTTTACACATTCATTTCTTCGATGGAAGTGCTTCAGATTATTGGTAATTAGTATACCTCATTTAACAACAACATCACAGATCATCCATTGAACTGAAAAAACTTTAGACAAGATTAGATCCAGAATACAAAGCGATGATTTTAGCAAATTTTCATATCTAAATCCTTCTTCGTCAGTTCATGATTTCGATAACATTTACAGGAACATATGAAAAGATAGAAGACGAAGAAGAAGAAGTTTATGAAACAGTGAACGTACATAAACTAAAACAGTACATACCAAATCTTCGTGTTGTTAACTTCTGGGGCGTTAGTTTATTCATATGTTTATATTTTGCATTGCTAATTTTGAGAAATTTAATCCTTTGTATTGTAACAATATTATTTCTTTAATCCTTAGATATTTCCACAACTGTTAAGTAAATGATGATGACACGAAGAATTTTATTTAAACGAAATTTCAATTCTCTTTAGCATTTGTGAGGTTCAAGCTTTCATTCTTTAAGTTTCGCTTTTTGTGCCGTCATTCAGGCATTTTATACAAAGTGAATGGAAACTTTAGGTACCTTTTATAACAGACGAGCATGTTGAGTCGATATCATCCAATTGCGCCCATCTAGAATGCCTCTGTATTAATTATTGCACAAAAGTTACCGGATCATGTCTTCGACTTGTGCTGCAACGCTGCAAAAAGCTTAGGAGCCTTCTTCTCGCTCACGCATGTGTGTTTTTCAAAAGTGATTGTACCTGTTTTGTTGGTTCCAACCACTTTAGCTAATTAATGTGAGAAGCTTCCAGAAATATATCTTAATTTACCGTTCTACTGCTTCACCTTAATTCTTCTAATAGAATATTCTTTTTTTAGTACTATATGAACATATTCCTACACAACTACTATGTACGCAATTCACTAAATAAAGTGAACTTCAGCACTTGACAATGAAATCATAAAATCTATCGAGTGGGAAAAAACACACATCGAAGAGTTAAATATCTGTGCTACTGAACTATCACCCGACGCATTAATTAGCATTTTAACTCGACTAAAACATCTCATTTGGCTTGATGCATCTTGGCTGGAAAACATGAATGACCAGGTGAGATTATAAAGTAACAAACACAGAGTAGACCATATCAGGATCACACATCTTCGAAACATTTATTAGCTAATTTTCAGGTCCTAGAAGCCTGGCTGGCTTCAGATTCCATTGTAAACCTGCAGTATCTTAACTTAGACACCTGTGATTCACTGAATGAAGCGTCATTAACTGACCTCATATCCAGGATGGGAAACCAATTGCTGGGCTTAAACTTGGGGGGACATCATAAATTACTGGAGTATTTCTGGACAAATATGATACCAAAGCTTAAAAATATTAAGTAAGTTCTTTTTAGTTCAGCTGTGATCACCTGTGCTAATTTGTTACTCGCTTTTTTATTACAGGTTCATTTAGACTGCACTGAGAAGCCAATCTTACTGAAACTCATAAATTATGAAATCTTATGCTACCAGTTTTTGTACATTTATCCTTCCCTAAAAAACGAATATGCCTTTCGGAATTCTCAGAATAGAAATATTTTTCACTGGGATTTTTAATGTGTTTTGAAATTCAAATACATCGAAAAATTTTGCAGAGTACTTGTCATGGGAACGGCGGAAGACTGTTGCTCAAAAGTACTTGCAAAAATTCATATTGATCAATTTATCGATAGTATCGCGCAGAATTGTCCAAAGTTATGTCGTCTTGAAATTCGCTGGGATGATGGAACTCTAAGATTCAGTGACAAATCGAGGTAAGACAATTAATCTACATTATTTAGTACTTCTATATCTTAGTTCATTCACAGAATTGAATTTCTGAATATGAATATACAATGAAGCATTTTAATTTCTATCTCAGAGAGGACAAGATGTACTATTATTCTGCTTCAGCAAATTCATCGATACTCTTCGATTGAAGTGCCTGAAATTGCGTTCGGTAGTATTATCTGATGGTCAATATTACGAATTAGTACGCTCTAATTTTGAAAGAGCTGACCGGCTATGCGTCGTCAGGTGAATAATCGATTTGTAGTATTAGTGGCTACAAGGTAAATCAACAGAAATCCTAAGAGTACAGTTATCATCCAAAGAAACGAACATCATCAAAAACTACTATCTCATTTCAGCGCAAATTACCACTTTAACTAAAATTGGTTAGTGAGAAACATATAACGCTCTATTGGAATCTGTAAGTCATGATATGCATTGTTCACGATTCTGACAAGATTATCACCATTAATGAAATAGTGCACTAGAAAAAAATGCAAACTAATCTTCATGTCGATAATTTACAGGACGCTCGAAATGTGCCGTACAGGACTAATGCATTGTTCAAAATATTACAATCAATTACTATTCAACTGACTGGGAATGAAGAATACTTATGCCACTCATGATTCTGATAAGAATCACCTATATAATTCAGATAAGCACACTAGTATAGTATCTTTTAAGAGATTGAATGATTTTCCTCTAAATCAATAGATTAATTATCACGCAATCTCACTATTTGCATGCCTTTTAATCTGTGAATATGCAAACGTTTACCCAACATGTGTTTTTGCTCATGTGTGCATGATGCGCAACGAAAATTACGAACAACTGTATGAGCAGATTCATACAAAATATAATCTTTACCACTTTTAGTTGACGGTAGCATCATGACTTAACGACTTCATGCATGCTTAATTCTTAATAAAAAGAATACGGAATGGGGAGAATGGAACCTATATTTCCGTTAATCGCATTTTATTCTTTTGTTCAGGTCAAATAGAATTAATTTATCGCCTTTAATGATCATATCAGAAATACAATGATTTTTAAATCTGCATCGATATAAACAGACTTGTAAAATCCAAAATGCAAGTATATAATATTACTGGTAGAGCATAAATTGTGTAGAAAAATGCAAAAGTAATCCGAAATGTACGAAACAAGAAGCAAAACTAGATAATAAAAGTATCCAACAAACATTACATTTAACAATCACAGTAAATATTACCAGTGTGCAACTCAAAACACAAGCAACAAAGTATCTTTAAAAATAAGAGTGGATTACAATGAGCAAGCCTCGTGGATCTTTATTAAAGGGAACAATTTTAAGCGCAAACAAGTAGATGTAAGAAAGAGTATGCTACGTTTTGGTACACTTACGACTTTTTTAAATTGGTAGAACAAAAATCCCTGAAACTAGAACAATTATTCAAGAAAAAAGACAGCAGAGGGAAAAGGTTAAGAGCAAAAACAACATCAGATAACAGGTGACTACCGTGCCATAATCTGCTAAAAATTTATCAACAAATGTGAAAGATGACCCTCAATTCATAAATTGCACTGCTGACATTACTGGCAACAAGTAAACCTAATTATTAACATTGTAATTCGTTAAAGGACAAAGAAGCTGAGCGAAAAAAGAACAACCTATTTCCTGTTTCAAATACTTTGAGAAGTATTTTCGAAATCTTCATAAATTTTTTGTTCAAATAAAATTTAAATATTAAACATCAATAAATGATCCGTAGATTTACGCAAAGAAAAAAGACCGAGGTATAATATTTGACCACTACTTGAAAATATTTTATAGAATTAATGACTCAAGCAATAAACAAAAGGGCAATGAACATTGTTCATATGAACGATAATATAAAACCATGTATGTATGTACATTGTGATCCATGAAAGAGCAAAATTCGACTCGAACGGTAAAACTAAAATGAATAGAATATCACGTAATACGAGGGCAATTAATGAGATTAGTAGATAAGCAATTGTATGTAAATCTCATATAATAAAATGTTTACGCTTGATAAGACAGTTTGAGCAAAAATATTTAAAGATAGATGTTACATACTTTTCAATGACTGTTAAATCCTGTAATAATAGAGTGGCCACACCTCAAGCTTAAAACTGTGTGTAACGGCAACTGCTCATTTGATTTTTATGGAAATAAAATTTGAAAAGAGATCTCATATTAAAAAGCAAAAAATGCTAGCTATTCTTGCAATCATGCAAAGCAGTGGGTGTAGCCAAATAAATGAAAGTTATGTACAAAAGAAAAATCCCAACACCCATGAATCTTTTTTAGTACTACTGTATTACTGGTGATAATGATAATAAGGCAACCAAGTAAAAGATCCGGTCACTAAAAAAAAGTACTGTGCAGAGTTATACAAATAGAAAAATACAAAAATGACAGCTCTTCCAACACCTGAAAAATTAAAAAAAAATGGAATAAGATGCTCAACTTGCACTTACTTTTTAATTTTTGCTTGCTTTCTTAATTTTCTTCTTATCAGTTTTCAATATAGGAATCTTTTTGTCACGCTTATCGTTCGCATCCTTTTTACCCCCCATCTCTTTGATACACTTTGAATTTACATCTTCTTTTTCTATTTTCGACAATTTGATAACTTTCTTATTCCCATCATTCGCATTCAATTTTTCAGCAATATCAACATCACAAGAAGTGCAAGCATTTCCCGTTTCGACGAAGTTCAAACTGTTCGCGAAACCATTTTCAAGAGCTTTTACGGAGCCGTCATCGGGTGTTTCATGCCCACTGGCGCTAGCAGAATCAGCCTGCTCATCGATTATCTCCGAATCATTACCATCATATATATCATTGCGTTGATAGATGGAATGTTCAATTGGGTTGCGCTGCAAAACAAATTTCGGTTGCGTTATTAAACAAAAAAAAAAATTGACAAGCAATACTAGTCTCCATTTAATACCATATCACTTGTAAACATTATTACAAGAAAAAAAAAAAAAACAAGTCCCTAGTTTTTCTTAGAAAACTTCCAGTGAATCAAATCCAAAATATTCAACAGCGGAACAAAAAAATATAAACAATAATACATAAACTGAAATTGAACTTACAGTAATCTCACACTTCTGACCATTGATTATGTGAATTTTCCCATGCTCCAAACACTTATCCGCTGAAGACTTATTTTCGAAAACAACAAAACCAAGTCCTCTAGGATTGCCCAAAATTTCAACTTGCTCAACGGTCCCGAAATTGTCGAAATATTGTCGTAAATCGTCAACTGTGTGCCATGCCCAATGTATTCCTGAAACAAATATTTATATGACAAGATCCAGTCAAAGAATACCATGTTAAATTACATCTTTTCAAAGAAAAGAACTTCACCTGACAAAGACAACTTGCATCCTGGATCAGGTTCAATTTCCAGAAATGATGGAGGATGGTTAGGAAGGAGGGGTGACATCTGTTCACGAGGTATAGCGCGCTTTGGATCAACCACCTGAAGTGTAGTAAATATTTCAAACGAAAACACAATGATATACGCAGAGAACAATTTCTAAACATCACCTGATATCAAATGGATAAATACCTTATTGTTTATAGTGTGAGGTCTGTCCGCCATAGCAGCCTCAGCCATCTGTATGGTTGCGAATGTAACAAATCCAAATCCACGTGAGTACTTCGTCTGTGGATCCCTGATAACTATACAGTCCACCACAGTACCCCACTGCGAATAATACTGTCGAAGCTTTAACATACGAACTCTTAGATAAACAAATACAAAACGTAAAGATTTCATTCATCACTAAATGAGCCGACAGTTCCAAAAAAGCTTACAGCAGTAGTCAGTTACTCATCATGTGTTTTACAAAGTACATTAAAATTTTCGAAAACCACTGCAATGAGATTCTGATTCATCCAAAAAATATCTTTCTTAACCATAAATTAAAAATAATAATCATGCTGCGACTCTTCTGTATATGAATAATACCTGCTCATCTGTAGTTTCGTGACTCAGACCACCAATAAATAGCTTTCGGGGTTGAGGCGGACACTCACTGTTATAATGTACTAAAATTCCATTTCGATGCAGTGGAGGAAAAGTGTTTGGCGTGAAAGAAGGAAAAGGGAAAGGGTGAAGTGCAGGGACATAAGACATGCGTGGAGCATTAGGAACACCTTGGAGCGACATAAACATTGGATGTGGCACATGTACTCCTCCTGAAACTCAACAGATGCAATAACGTTCAAACAGATGAGTCCTAAATACAGATTCGATGATAATATAACTTCGAACGAATTCAAAAACCTTTTTGTTTTCCAAACACATTATATAATAAATACAACATAAGAAACTACTACTCCTACACATATTAATACCAACCAGAAGAATATACAGGTGAAAACATATTGGACTCCTTCCAACCACTTGATCGACACTTTCTGCGACCAGCACTGAAATTACGAATATCTGTACAGCTATGCAAAATGAAAATGTACGTACATAAGAGACATGGTTTGAATAACACTTTATGGATCTAAAAATCACGAAGAGAGGAAGTTCGCTTCGTTGTCCTACAACAACTTGACTCTAAGCATGATATGAGGCTTGAGCTCAACCATCTCAAGTTTGATCGAAAAAAAAAAGTAGGCTTTTAACTTCTTGTAATTAAACTGAGCAAGCCATAAAACAGTTTAAAAACAAAAGTTTTTTCGATGCAGTGTGATAAAAGCCAAATGTGTCAATAAAACGCTGTAGTGAACATAGACGTCAAAGTAACGCGCAACATATGGAATGAAACTTTTACATATCAAACTCAGGCTTACTTATACTATATATATATATATATATATATATATATATATATATATATATATATAATCATCAGATGTTATTTTGAATAACATCTTTGTATCGCAAAATCACGAACATACGAAGGTCACTTCGTTCCCCTACGACATTTTCTTAATTCAACAGAATTGCATGTGGATTAATGTATAGCGATGTAATGAAGGCGAAGAAATAAGCAAGTGAAGTCCAACGCCAAATTTTATAAAGAGATTATCTCAAATAACCAAAGGCAAACTGCATATAAACTATTCTCACCCGGTTGATCAGTTGAGATTTCACCAGTCTGCTACCGTACTCAACAAAACGTTGTGAAATACTCGGAACAATATTTCATTGCAGCTCAAAGGTTAAAACCCAAATTGCCACAGATTTTTGGAGGAGTAAGGGAGTTGTTCTTTGTAACTAAATTCCAGCAGTAATGGAGTTTCTTCAGGAAGTTTTGTGGTTCACTGATGCCATACAAAAGATTTTATAACAGGTAGAAAACACCTCATGAATATGATAACTGGATTTGCAAAACACAAATAAAGGATACTTCAGCTTAATGAATAGCTATCATAAATGTTGGGAATTTTAGTAAACTCATTTTTAAGGTTTGTTAGGTCTGTGTTCACGTAAAATCTTTTTTTCGTTTTTTTTTTTCTTTTTTTTTGCAAGTTATATTACATGCCAACTATAACCAATCCAAAAATTTTCTCACCAAAATATTTCAACCAATCGAAATGTGGAAATATAACATTAAGGATGCAGTATCCCCCTTCACTTCCTTGTTGCAAATGTCTTCTCAGAACATATCCGGAAGCGCAAAAGACTTATGAAAGTAAACTGAAGCTGCTAGGATGGGTCAGATGGATTTTCAAAAGTGATCAGAGCTACCTTCAACAATTCAAGGTAAAACTTGGGTAACTGAGTTCAAGGAGTATCTACTAAAAGAAACACACGAGCCAATCAAAAAACTAATTTGTATATTTTCCAGTATCTCATGCATATTCACAATAAGTTCAGGACGTGATACTGGTCCAAAATGTTTTCTGTTTTTCCAACAGAGTTTTATTCTCAGAAAATTCCAGATAAACCGAAAAATTGCAAATCTTTCTAAAATTCATTCTGCACGTATCCTACACCATTCCGAATGAAAAAATTTTATGCATTTGCATCATCCTAACGGAGAACAAAGATTTTAATTTAAATTTGAAGTTTACTGCTAATGAACAAATGCATAACAATGAACTATGTTAAAATAATAACACTGATGTATATTGAACTTAAAAGTTTCCAGCTCACCACACATACGAGCGTTTTAGCACCTTCTAGAAATGTATTCATCCCAACCATTTAAAAGGCCTTTTTTTGCAAACTAACATACCTAACTAGAAGGATTTATTAGTATAGCTTAATGGCTGTACAAATCACGTCCTAGAATGCATCTTCCTTGCATCATAGGGTTTCAAAACAGAAAGGGAAAGACTTGATTCGAATTTTGTTTCATAATTATCTTTCCTTCTTCATCCTAAGCCATTCCACTCCAATTCACTCCTTATTTTTCTCTCTGCTGTGTAGCTTTTTTTTAATAGAACAATAGGAAGGATTTCTATGAAAGTTTTCAAGTTCCTTGAAATCAAAACGAAGTCTAAAAAGCTGTTCTATTACGAACAAATAACCGAAGCAGTTTTTACCATCATTATGATATGAACAAAATGAAGTGGTGATGCAGAACACAGAGAAACCATAATAACCTCGCTTTTGTCCTACGAAAAGCATGATGGTCAACATCTGAAGAAGCGACTAAGTCCCAACCAGATTATTTATATTTTCTACATGTGTGAATTAGTCCACTCCACCGTCACTCACAGTCGTCTCCAACGCCTTCAATGAATTTGGCTATACGATTCCGATCTACGAAAATTTCCTTAATCTTATCTCACTTTTACATTTTCATTCCCACACTCTGAGGAAAATCGCCTATTCTCTTGCAGAAGTGCTGTTGCTTTCTTTAAACAGCACACAAATGAACCATTTAAGAAATTCCTAATAAGAGATGAAGAAATTAACAGGATAGAATGCTCCACTGCTTTCACACTGTCAAAGTATCTCGTAAAGATCAACCATTACTTTACAAATTAACCAATGGTTTTCTTTTCATCATTAGGTCATAATGGTGTGAAAAAAAAAAAAAAATTGAAAACCGTCCCTGCCACAGAAAATAGAAAAACGCAGATGATTTATGCCATCATACAAAACAGCCAACTACCAACTAAATAATGAGCTAGCAATACTTTTCTTATATCCTAGCAACATATGGTTTACAAATAAATCACCAGCTCCGTTGTGTGGCTACTTGCACTGTCTGATCATTTGTACCAAATAACCCCCCAGGTAGCAGTACATTTGCATGTCAGACAAAACTTTTCGCAAATCTCCTGATAAAGATTCACACCGTCAGCTGTTAAAATCGCTCTATTCAATCTACTCATCGGTTAAAAGTCATCAGTGGTTCGGACGTACGGTTTTCACCAACCAACACCTGGCACCACATTTCCAGCTTGCTTGGAAGCTTCTGGGCTACAAAACCGTGCTTCGAAACTGTCCAACCGTTGCCACTTCCACACCATGCTGAAATAAGTATCTGGATACGGGTTTCGTGGAAGGTTTTGTGTGATAAAAGGCGAAATATAAAAACAAAACAAAAAAAAAAAAAAAAAAAAAAACACTTCATATCGAAGCGCAAAATGTCGAATTGAAATAAAATCTACAACTTGCACAGTGACAACTTCAAAGTGTTTAAATATATTCACAATATAATAAAACGATGTGTCATACACAATCTTCGTTAAAAAATATAAATATGACCAATGATAAGAAAAGGGAAATGAAATAAAAATAAAATTGCGAGTCGATTTGGTCGCAAACTGTCGACTGTTGACGCCGTGGCAGCCGATTTGTTTCAAAAACTAATAATGGTCTTTCGAAAAAATCCATTCACAATCCAAAACGTTAAAAATTTAGAAGCATAACTACAAAATATTGGAAACGAAATCCTGCAAATTATAAAATGCACGAATCGATATAAAAAAAAAAAAAAAAACTGAAATAAATCTAGAAACATAAGATGGTCATTCTTCAGACGTTGAAATAGCTTCAAATTGCGCTGGGGTAATTGCGAAATTTGCTAAATCTTTGGGAAATATTCTAGAAGCAGACACTACTAATTATTTCAATTCCATACTGGACCAACATAAATAAAAAAAAAAGAACATAACAAATGCAAAATAGCGGAGCAAATAATACCAAATTGATTCATTATAAAACAATATTGCATGAAAAAAAAAAAAAAAAAAAAAAAAAAAAGAAAAAAAAAAAAGAACGCTCTGATGGACATCTGTCTAAATACAATTATTAAAACAGAAGCTATTCAAAATACCCACAATACTCTTCCTTATTGCTGTTAGTCTTATTTCTATTATCTTGAAAAAAGTATACTAGCCATGATTCAATCGAAAGAGAACATAGTGGGGAAGATAAATTATGAAAACAGCGAATCACGTCTAGGAATCAAGCCTAATTACCAAAATTTAATGGGTTAAAACATATAGTAACACTTTATTTTCTATAAATAGTATGTTATCATCAAAATTTAAGGAATAAGACTTACCTACTTTCACGTGAGGCAATAATACAAATATCAAAAGTACAGTATTATAATAACCGTAAATTAATTGCTAGTGGTAGGTAAGGGTGGATCGGCCTATGTGTACACTTGGGCCAGTTTGGTTGCGGAATGGTATGCGCCCAATTAAATGTTTCAACCTAGAAAATATTCCTACCGAAGCGCCACCAATATCTGTGTGAGAAATACTGATGTACAAGTGATGGCTTCCAATTGTATCACTACTTGTTGTCATCCTCTTCATCAGACACTATCAGAAAAATATTGTCATCTGGCTCTTCGCGTGAACTGGGATGGTCTGAAATTTGTCCTTTTGTTTCCCACAAATAGAAAAACATGAATAAAAAATTGAACAAGAATAATCTAAACCTATAATGAACGAAGTGAGAACAGTTTCAGCTATCCAACCCCCAGGTAAGAATACCGTAATGCAGTTAATTACCATGTTCATCCGGAATGATGGCTACCATATCACTGATTTGTCGTTTTTGACGTTGCTGCGGACGAGTTGTCGACGATCGAATCTGCGATCCTTTCCGTTTGTTAAAACTGGAAATTCTGGAAGCCGAACCACCACGAGTTCCAGGTGAAAGCATGAGTGGTGGTAGCAACTTGCCCACTGAAGAAAGTGGTCTTGGTGGTCCTGCGGGTGCAGGAGCCCTCATTTTATTGATTACAACAGTGTTCTCCGTGACCATCGACATTCGTTGCTTTAACGATGGATCATGATGAAGTCTAATGCCTCCGGTTCTATTGTAGGCAGTAGCGATTAATTCTGTTACAACTTCTACAGGTGTCTGGCTACTTACGGTAGATTGACCAACCACTGCACTGACCATATGCTGGACACTTTCTGGATTACTTGCTCCCAGGGCACTACGAATATTAGGCGGAGGCTGGGACATATCAGGTGGTGGGCAGTTTAAACCTACTGGTCCTGACATAAGATTTGGCGGTGGTGCAACCATGGAAGATACCATATTCGCGGGTCTCCGTCCCGAGGTCATTCCACCAGTAGCCATTGAAGGAGGAGCAGGGAATGCAGAACCAACGTTTGGTGCTCGAGGAGGTGGTACCGAAAACGACGGTGGAGGGACATTCATTGAGGGTAAACTACTCAGTATAGTACTGTTTGTTAATACTCCTCCCTTCATATGTGACAAACTTCTCTGGAGAGTTGAGTTTGAAGAAGGTCCGGTTCTTGAATCAACGGAACTGATTGGTTCGGTATGACTCAACAAATTAGTAGTGATGGAAGATGTACCAACACTTGTTCGCACAGTCAGTGATGGTGCTAATGGTGGAGGAACCGAGAAATCAGGAGGTGGAACGCTAACTGCTGATGATCCGGAATGTAATGACATTAATGGCTGTGCAGTGACAACAGTAGCATTTCCAGATTGTGGTTGCAAGTTCTGTAATGCCTTGCTGCTTCCAGGTAAAGTATTCAGCGCGCTACTAGTGGAGGCTGAAGAAAGTGGTTGAATGGTGCCAACTGTATGCTCCGAGGGATACACTGGAGTAGCGCCAGTTGGTACTGGTACTGTTTGCGGTGGCACAATATTCGAACTTTGCATCGTGCTCAAAAGAACCGTACTTGATAGTTTGTGCGGTAATATGGATGGACCATTTATAGGAGCTGTGCCAAAAGGTGGAGGCGGTTCGGAGAGATTTGGAAGAGGTACTTGTGAGCTGCTTTGAATCTCGCTCGATTTCAAATGGATAAGATTTTCATGATATGTACCACAATCGGCATCTACTGAGTTTGATAATGTCCTGAAATATTTTTAGGATTAAAGACTAATAAAGTAGCTTTGTCTTAATGTCAAATTAATTCAATGGGACTAGAGAACAACAGTACTGGGCTTGGTTTCGCAGCGTTAAAAACACAAGTACAATGCTCACTGGTATCAAAACAAATCCGGTGTCATTTAAACTATCTCAAGTCAATTTCGCTACTTTTAAGTCGAACCATGGAAACATTTTTCTCCAATTCAAGGGTGTTTAATAATTATAATAAATCATAAAAGAAGGAACTGCAGAAGATACCTCAATGCAACATTTGGGGGAAAATCAGGTACGGGAGAAGGAGGTTTATTCGGATGGATGAAACTAGTCGGACCTTGCGATCCAGAATGCATAAAGCAATGCTGATTTACTGCTCGCATACCACCATCATTTTCTGGAAGTAAATATATAAAATAAACAAAGAGAATTTAGTCATGGCAAAAACTAATCAATTAAAAACGCTCCTACCACTTCAGTATACTCTGTATATATCCCAATGTCACTGAAATAAACTAATGCAGCATTTATACGGTATTTACCTCCAGATTCTAATTTGCTTAAAGCGTTTGTCTGTACCACAGCATACGTTGAGGTTACTGATTTGTCAGGAGTGTTGTAAATTTGTCGTCCGATGGAATGAGATACCTGATTTGGACTGGCTGTATTACCAAAGCTCATTAGTGGAGCTGGGCCATCACTAAAGCTACCAATCTGAGGTGGTAAGTCACTAGTGACCTTCGGAAATAATTCATGAGAAGGTCCAGTTCCAGAAAATCCGGAACTACCACCACTGAAGTCCAACCTTCTGAATAGTGGCTTAGGACCATGATCGCATGCACTCGTTGAAGGAATCATTGAAGAAGACTGATCTAAATGCGTAGGACCAATTAAGCCTGGAAACAGCGGTTTTTTACCATTGACGGAATGTAGTGTCTGCTCCGCACTTGAACCTGCATGAGATGCACGCTCCACGGTAGTAGTTGAATTTGATCCACTATTATTTCTTAGCAGTGTACTACCGCTCCCCAATCCAATGTGACTTATGTCTTCGAATACTCCGTGCTCATTCAATCCACCACTATAAACTGCCCCATTCCTAACACCCAATACTCTCTGTTGATCGTTAGAAACACCTCCGACTTCACCGAATCGCATTCGAGCACCTGCGCACCGTTCCTCACTGCGCACACTGACTTCCGGATCATTACCACGGTTTAGCCGTACGTTTGCACTTGTAACCACCCCAGGTGGATCGAAAAGGTTTGGTAATCGGAAACGCTGATCTACTTGAAAAACTGTCGTTCCTCCGTTCATTTGTAATGCGCCTGTAGATGTTAAAAACAAATAAACAGAAAGGAATCAATAGTTTTTCCTACTTTCTATAGGCTACCATCATTTATGAACTACCTCATACTACGCCAATGGTCCCTCCAATAGATTATCAGTTGTGAAAGGCAAATTAAAGGAGACTAGTTCTAATTATGAGGAGAATTCAAGTGTAAATAGATACTTTCAAATAAGAGAATTGATAAAATACCACTAGAAGATGAACCAGAAGAATGCAAAGTTTGGGGTGGAAGCGGAAGATCCATTCTCAAATGCACCGGAACGCGAATGTATAGTTTTTCAATGTCATCCTTCACCTCCATATATATTTCTCGCAGTGTGCTGTCAAATTGTTTAAAGATATAAATAAAAAATCAACCACTGCTGTTCGATGAACTTAGAAAAATGAAAAATTACTGAGTCGATTTCCATAATCTATTCAAAAGGTTAAAGACGGTAGAAATGATTTTAAAATAGATTCCAGGCTTGTGAAACATGAAATATAATTCATAACAAAGGATATAACTCATTATATTTTCAACTACAAGCAATGAATTGCGGCAAAATCCATAATGTTAAGCCACTTACTCATACTGAGTTTGTCGACCTCGTTGCAATCGCTCTTGTTCCTTACTGAGATCACACATTCGTGCTATTAAATTTCTGAGTTCTTTGTCGGACATATTAATAGCCTGGAGTAAATGATTATTTACAAAAAGAAATAAATAGGCAGGGAATCAACCATACAGCAAGAAAATTTACCTCGCTCTCCTGAACACTGATGATTTTTTCGACACGTTGGCGCAACGTATGAGGCTGATCATAAATACGCATTGGTTCCACAAGTTTATTTACTGGCAATGAGGTCATATGGGCTGATGCAACAGCTTCTCTCAACGGTTTAGGTCGTTCTTCAACAAGTGTTTGTTGACGCTCCTGCTAAAAAAACATTAAAAAACTTATGCTTATTGTTCTTTGCTACTGACAAACTACAAACAGACATTATCTGTCAAACTGTAAAAAATTACAGATAACGACGGAAATTAGATGCTCAACACAGAATTACAATAGTAAAGCTGAAAAAACCGATAAATAGTAATACCTCATCACTATGTTCTTCCCAACGTCTTTTTCTTTGCCGCCTCTCTTCATCATTGTCGCGACGCGGCGAATGCTGCAGTTTTGGTGTCCTGAAACTATTAACTTATATTAAACAAATATTATTAAAACAAACTTACAGTGGAAATATGTATGACTTACGTGATAGTTTGTCGTTCCCTTCTCTCTTTCTCTCGTCGCTCCACAGACGAACTGCAAAAAATAGCATAACTTTTTTTAAAAAAAAATCTACGCAAAGAAATTTATAAGAATATGCTGTCTAAAATTTAAAAAATTTTTCATAAAACTGAATTTCATCAGAAGTAATGAAATGTGTTATGAGAACTGACATACTTGACCAGTATATTAATACTAACCTCCGCACAGGAAGTTTCGATCTGGAACTAAAACTCATATTCTTTAGTTTTTCAAGAGCCGTTTTTTTTGAAACATTAATATCTGTCTTCGCCGATATATTATCCTCTTTGCGACTTGCTTTGCTTGTTTGTTGATCTACTATTTCACCTTCGTCATTCGCCACCTAAAACGAGACCTGATTAATATCGGGTATGATAGAAAAAAATAATACTGTAAACAAATATCAGTAACACAACGCACTGAACCGCTAAATAAAACCTTTTTTTAACAAACTTACATCACAGTTAGACACATCGCTAACTTCACCATCTTCTTGTTCCATAATTTCTACCTGAATTGGAAACTCCATTAACTCTTTTTGATTACTGCAAAGTACTTCCATGGAAATATTCGGAAGACAAAGTTTAAAAAAAGCAGAACAGCAATGCAATTTCTCAGAAAAATAGTATTTTAGAAAACAACAGCAAACGAACCTTATTCACAGATTCTGCAAGACCTTCCTCTTCTGCCCCAGTCATATAATGGTTGCTAAAAAGATATTTGGCGGAGCCAATTGGGACACGCTGCTACTTACTTTTGCTGATCAACACGACCGTAGTCCTGGAAGACTCCAGTCTTTCGCAATGAGAAAACTTTTCATAACTGAAGCTGGAGAGACATGACTTTGGAAAAAAGGAGTGGAAAGAAACGAACTTATCGAAAAATTGATTACTCGGTCAGATCCTTCGGTAGGATAAATAAAATAAAAATACTGCAGTAGGAATGTCATCTCTTAATCTGAAATATGCTACTTTTAATCATTTTTAAAATCACAAAATTCGGGTGACTAAAGCAGCAGAATGAGTACATCCCTATTTCGCTAGGCTATACTATTCTCTCTTTTCTTATTCATCTCAGTGTAACAAAAAAAAGGCAAAAAAAGTTTCTGGGTGTGCTATATACACCACAACATATGGAAGTGTAAAACGAAACTTATTAGTTCAACTAGCACGACACTATATGTTATGTAAACATATTAAACATTAAAATAAAAAAGTAATAAAATAAAGTCTGACCAATATTTAGAAACCAACATGAAAAGTGATTTGTTTCTCGAGATAAATTACCGTCTGTCACAAAAGCACTTCATGAATTTCAGGAAAAATCAGTAGTGCTTGCGGAAGGTTATGTTTCAATCCTGAAATGTCTGTTTTCTGAACAACAAAGATTTCACGACTTCGAAGTCCATCGAAGTCGTGAAATATGTTATGTGATTATCTAAATTAGTCCACAATTTTTCCAACATATGCATAAGAGTCAAAGACACCAGCACATCGTAACTTTAATAGATTTACATACAATTATTGGCACCACTAGCACCATCCGACAAGGACTATATGACCCTTGACCTGCGCAATATCATTACTCCGAGCATCGACCTTTAACCACGCGACTTGCAGTGATTTCAACGGCCGCGTTGAATAAACTGCACTGAAGAGCAAACACTATAGAAATATACATACATATGCAGGATGGAGAGTGAAGAGATAGGACAAAGATCGATCGGTGGTCGATGGTGCCGGGAGAAGAGTGTAGAAGTGGGAGTAGAGTGGCGGGGAAAGGATGGGTAAGGTGAGAGCGCATAGACAGGTAAGCGAAAGTTGTCTGCTGATGGTGGCTATGTGCTCTTGCTATTGCACCACTGATCTTTCGGGTTTCTAAGGTCACTTAATAGCTGAGATAACTGATAACAATAGCCTGTTACTGATAGCTCACAGTTGTGCGATAAATTTCAAAGGACAGTGAGAGGGAGAGGTAGGTAGTTAAGTAAATTATCGTGGAATGATCAAAAATCACCTAGCTCTGCTAGGAAACAAAATCAAGGTTATTAGAATCCTGTGAATCATGAAAGCACTTGTTGTGTCGATTGCCACTGGCTTTCGTCCAGCTGCCTCTGAATGCAATTACGGCAATGAAATTTATCAATTTTAGGCTAATTGTTCAAGTCCCTTTTATGCATCAGTGGTTCAGCTTTAGTTGACAATCTTGTCAAACAAGTGGCTATTAGGTAATTAGTAGTCAGACAATGAAATGAATACTAAATGTGAAGCACGACAGTTTACGACAGTCTGCTGTCGTGCCATGTTAACATCGACCGGAAAAACTACACATACCGAACAACATGATTGTTCCAAAGGTAGCAGTCAATGATTAGTAGTGGGAGGCATAAATGTTCGTCAGAGAGAATGACTGCAGGACGAAGGTGCTAAGATTCATGTTCACAAACAATAAATTCTCTCCATCGGAGTTGGCGCTATGGCTGAGAATGACGATTATCCATCTTCCGAATGAGACGAATATTGCCAACAACGCCTGAAAACATGAACACTACACATAGTTATGGGTGTGTATCGTAGCTTCATGAAATCCTTGCCATCACGCAAGAAATCCATGACTGACAACACTCTGAAATGTTTGTGACGATGGTTCCACATATCGCACATTCATTATTGCGAGCGTGCATTGTCAGCCATAAATGATAATTAATTTATGGGAGGTAGGAAATGTTTAATACGTCATGATTAATTTTTAGGCTTAGTTAAGTGTATGTTTCTGTGCGGGAGAGTATACCAACCACTGTTGCTTCTAAAGCAATTTAGATTTAGTTCCAATAGTTTTATTTTCATTTTGTATACTTATAGCTCATAGGTAAGTCATAACATTGCTATGCATAGTAGCACCTTTTAACATCTCATGAAGTTCATGATAATTTCATCAAACAGATTTAATGACATCAGTAGTTGTATCGCATGTATCTTTAGAAACACTTATTTGCTTATTATGCGAAATAAGATTACTAACAAATAAGACTAAAATATTACTCAAAATAAGATTAATAGCATAGTCAAATTAAAATCAACTTTAACAGTCAGTAGATTCATTTTGAAATTCGAAAGACGTGGCCTCTCGTTTTTGTAAATGCAATTATTGGAACCTAAATCGAGAATAATCCATATCGGAAAAAGTAGCACTTTTTTATTGTTTAAATATTAGCATTATTTTATTGTGGTATTTCTTAATGAATGCTGCATATCACCGACTTGTTTTTGAACTGAGTTTAGTTCAAATGATTTGATTAGGAAGATTCATAGATTGATATGTGGTGTAAATATTAGCGAATTATGGTCAGAATTTTGTGGAATTCAGCAATCTTTATTCATTCGTATAACAGTTGACATGACAGATAAGTCACACATTTACGATGCCAACAAGTCTGTACATGACTCGCTCTAATGAAAGCCATGGATTCGAGATCGCTAGAAAATTCAGTGTGAAATTTACGTTTCATAAGAGTGTAAATCTCAAATCATTTGTGGGGAAACCAAATCTCAGACTGGATCGTTTTTGATAATTGCATTAAACAAATTGGAAAAAATTATTTCTGCTAGAAAGATAAAACGTGAATTAAGAAAAAAAAAAAGCATTGTAAGTTTGTTGCACAACAATTGTTTCTCACTTTGGAAATTGTAAAAAAGAAAAATACCTAGATTATGCAAATAGACGTGGCATTACATCACCGTTACAATAACAAATATGTAATAGTGCTCTACTGTTCGTATTGCTACAAACTTGCAACTTAAGACAATAGGGGGTTAAAATTTCAATTGGGCAATTATAAATAGAGAGGTGAAGACTTGTGATTTTAGTAGTAAATTTATTCCAATGTCAAATAACTTATCCAAAGTGATGCATAGTCTACTTAATTATTATTTTTAGAGGTAGACCTTATAAGATAGTATGCCCTGAAATTTCCAAGTATAATTTTTTTTTTTTTTTGCATGCTGCTAAGAACTGATAATCAAATTTAGTTCATTTTGTTTTGAAGTCATAAGAAAGTGATCGAGCAGACAACTGAGCTATTTGATAGTGCAAAAAAGTTGCCTGTTATATTGCTGGTAAATTGTTGACGTGATAGCAAGGACAAATTTTTGAATAAAAACTTGAGATATGGTAAAGAAGATGTATTATTATTATTATTAATGGTCATTCAAATCAATTTTTGCCTCCTCTGATTTCTCGTCATTGTCACCTCTTCCTACAAGCTGTGCATTAATAGCCGAAGTTGTAATCACAGATTTTGCTGATCGACTGTATTTCACTCCATCACGCATATTCCTTACCGCCGTTATCCAACCGAATATTTGCAAATTCTTTCTGAAATTATCATATCTAGTAATTAACAATTTGTCTTAAAAGAGCACAAATGTTATGGAATTATGAATGCATGTTGCACGAAAAAGGAAAATTTTTTGAATGAAGAAAAAAACTTGTAATTAAATATTATATAGAAGTTATGTATGGAATTATTGATTTTTTGACGTTTGGGTTCAAATTTACAAAGTATAATTAAGTGAATACAGTTCAAGAAAGCTTATTTCGTTTGTGGTATGACACCAATTAATTTCCCTAGCATGAAAATTCATGGCTATTATTGATTGCGCTGATATCACCCAGAAAACCTTCTGAAATTTTCAGCTACCCTTTTCAAAACAATAAGAAAAAAACACATGTAAGTGAAATTTTAAGAAAAAAAGAAAAACATAAGTAACAGTTACCTTAAGAATAGTCACTACATGTAACAAGCTTATCACTGATGACCACTTGATGCATCTATTCCGTATAATTATTACCTTATTGCTGCTTCGTAGAACATAATGAACTGTTGACGGAAGTTCTGATTGAAGAATGCGTATGAGACAGGATTTAAACATGCGGAACCCATTGCAATCAAATGGCAAATTGCAAATAAGGGCACAGAAAACTCGACAATTCCAAATGTATTAAGTACATGAAAGACGTTTAATGGTAGCCACGCGACGGCAAAAACAATCACGACGCATATAAGCAATAAGTGTGTACGTCGTTGTCGTCCTGCGACCGATCTGTACATTCCTATTTATTTGATTTCAAAACAAAAAAAAAAAAAGTATTGTGACATATTCATTAACTTCATCAAATTAATTCCTTAGTGTGAAACTGAATTTGCTTACTTTCCCTTCTTAAAAAATATTAGAAGCGATAACTAATAACCTGATTTCAATAAGTCTACTTATTTCTAGATGCTTAATCGTTATTATGCAACATTACGACGAAAAAGATATATTCCTGAATTCTTCAAGGAAGTCATAAAAGTGTTATAAATTGATTCGTCAAATTTAGATGAACATGAATAGAGCGAAGTCAAACGGAATAAAGACATTAGAAATGTTTCAACTAGTGCTGAATATGTTATTCTGTTTGGCATGTTACGCAAAAGTTACACGACTATTTACCGCCAAAGCATATGCTCCTTTATTTATAAACATCTACAATTATTCCATCGGCTTTAAAGCAATTTTAAAACTTGAATGATTAAACTAATGTCATATTATATTCCAATATTACGAAAAATAACACTTGCCTTATATTTGATATAAATGAATATGAAATCTCACTTTCTCCTTTCGTTATTAATAGCATTGGTGGTGAATGTAGAAGAAGCAAGACGACTGTTCATTCTAATTTGCATTTTCATGGCAATGGTACTATATGCAAAAACAATTGATATCAATGGGAGTGCATATTGTGTTAGCAATACCGCCAAAGTATATGCTCGTTTACTTATAGGCATCTAAAATTATTCCATCGGATGTATATTCTCAAACTACTGAAGTGTTATGATGGCTATTTCATGACAAATCTTATATGTTTCGAGAATTTATTTATGTTCACTTTTCTCATTCTTTCTTCGATTACTTGCAAATTCAAAAGTTGTGTGATAATTAGAGATAAAATTGGCAACAGAACATACCAAATTCCAAATTTCATTCTTCTCGTGGCAGATTTTTAAGGAAATGCCACATTTATCATCATCGAATACTGTATTCAAATCCGATGTTATCAGTAATGGTAATGCTAATGTGATTGAAATGACCCATATCAGGAAAAATAATAATAGAGCCAAATTATGTTGACGTTTTCGTTTTGTTGGAAATATAATTACTACGCAACTTAAAAACGACTTTAATGGTGAACAGCGGTAAGATTTTAGGTTTTTCGAAGAAATTCGGTAACATTTCTATTTACGTCTGGATTATACTGTTGCTACAAATACAATTGCTTCCCACACCCTCCTTAAGGTACCACTGAGCAACTGTTCAAATTTGAAAAAGCTAATTACCGATCAAGAGCAATTGCTGCTATAGAAAAGGTTGATAAAAAAATACCAAAGCCAAGTAAAGAACCGGTTATTTTGCACATTGCTAAGCCAAATGGCCAGAATATATACAATACCTAGAAAAACGATTTTTCCTTTCATCAATCTAATGTGAATGCAATACTGGAGATTAAAATCTGAAATATAAATTAGGAATTTGCAGGTAAACAGCATGAAATTCATGTAATCTAAATTGTATAAAACTTTTTTTTTGGCCTCACATTTCATTTTTCCAGTTATTCCCATTCAAGAACACAACTTTTAACAAGGTGTTGAATTGCGAAAGGAATTAGCTGACTTTCAAGAATGTATTTCGAAATCGAAATGACAAAAACATTTTTGCAAATAATGAAAGTGAAGATGAGGAGAATGAAGCAAATTTATTCTCACTGTATAAAAAGTGATTGGAGCTGCGATAGTGCAGATGAAAAAATCGGATAAAGCCAAGTTAAGAATGAAAAAATTTCTTGTTGTCCTGATTTGTGGGTTGTAAAGGACAGCAATAATAGTGAGCATATTTCCAAATGCTCCGAATAATATAACAACTACATAAGCTGCTGTGATGCACCATCCAAGCTGCAAAATAAGGTACTTCCAGATATTCATTTTTCAATCAGTTATGTACTTTTAAGCCACAGAATACAACAGCGTTTTTTTTTCCTACCGATATGCAATGCCAAAATATTAAATTACATTCAAATTAATGCTAATGCTTGTTGTCTGTATGGTTAGAAATTCTGAAGTGAAGTATGCATACCATTTTTAACTTAAATGACAAGGCAAACCTCACAATAAGCACCGCATGAGATATAGCATTTAAATATTCTCTGGGGGAAGAACGCTTCAGTTCCTACAATTCTAAAATCGCAATATCGGACTTCTGAAGTTTTATAAACTTTCATCCTTGACATCTTTACTGTTGTCGGCTTTATTCCTTTTTACCACTACATTGCTGGCAGCGATTTCTCATTCAAGTTTTTTTTTGAGCAGTCTTAAAAGAAACTCAACTAGCAATATGGCTTCATCAAATTTCAAAGCCAATATTTAGTACATTAGTACATAGTTGAATTTTAAGAATGTAGTTTAATGGTTATTTTATATATGTAATGTGCTTTGAAGAATAGTACATTACATATATAAAATAACAATTAAACATTGTTCAACTAGCTTAATCTTGAAACGGAACTTCCTGTGAAAATAACGAAAGAGATGCTTTCCACTTCGCTACCGTACAATCAACTTTATTCTACAGCCGCTAGTGATTCATTCGTGTGACACCAATTATGTTGTTCGCAATATTCATAAGAATTACTAGAAATAGTTGAGAAAATATTTTCATTCCTTAACTATTAGTCATTTATGGGAAATTTTAGGTGTTGAGCTCAATGAAATACTAAAGTGTCATCAAACTACTATGTGACATATGTAACTTTTTCCTATTAACTTCCCTTACTTTAAAACAAAAAATGAATTTTGAAAGCTTTTGTGCTTTGCCTCCTACATGAAAGATCAATTATTATTAAAATGAAGCAGCTTTCCTAAAATACTAAAGCATTTCTTCAACATTTTAGAAAGCCTCAAGTCTGTACTTGATGGTTCTTCATAGACACCCATTTATAAAAGAGACCAGCTCAAGACAAAAACACCTCAATTCATCGGCAATAGTAATATAACGCTTAACTAACAATCTCAATTGCAATACTTGTATTTTTGTATCTCCAAACAGCAACTTTGCATAATCAAACACAAATTCACATGATAATTATAGCTTAAACATTTGATTTTTTATCAACCGGATGGACTCGACATTTTCCATGGCTAATACTTACAGTCCTTCAGATAAATTATCATCTGATTTGATCTAATTGGTAAAAGAATACCAGACTATCAAATATTTTTTGCAAAAATAACTAGTTGAAACTTTTCCCATAAATCCAAATTTAAAAAAGGATAGAGAGATATTATTACGGATTTGATGGATAAGAAAAAATTGCATGTGATATGCCAAAGAGACTTATCTCTCCAAGATAAGGTTTCCTTGAGTAACAGTTTGCAAAAGGTCTGCATAAAAGACCGATAACATAACAGCGCCTAGGTGTAAAAAAATCGTTTATTTAGATATTTAGATATGCCGATAATACCTGAGCGGAAGCATGGTTTGTACCCTCAAGAACCATGTCATCCCTAAAATAAGAATCGATCCGGGTAAAAATCTGTCGCCATTCATCACAGTCATGCTTCATTCTGGCGCTTGACACCTGTAAAATAAACTGATGAACATATATTTCACTCAAACCATTCAAAAATTCATGTGAGTTAACATTTTCAGACTTATGTAAATATTTAAAATTTTGGAAATTCACTAGGCAAATTAGACGGAACGGGAGTAATTACTGAAAACGACTGGAAAGTTAAAAAAAAACCAGTGAGAGACTTTATGTAATTTTAATCAATGACAGGTTAATGCTTAACTTTTAGTCTTTTTCATAAGAACTATGTGATATATTGTAATGTTTATGTGATTGATGTGGTATTAATGTGATAGATTTATCAATGTTTATGACCTTTCTTTCACTAAACAGCGGTGAATTTTAAATTGCAATCACTGACTGTGTCCCATACCGTCCAACAAGAAATTTCTAAGAATTATTGGTGATTTTGTCTAATAAGTATTAAACTTCAGTTTTAAATTTATAAGTGTGATTTAGTGTATCGACTATTCCAAATTTTAATCTGAAGCTAATTAACGAAGCAGTCAAAAGCATAAGATATGACTACCACAGATTGGAAGAATGTAGTAGAACAAAATATATTAATACCGATACTGCTATCGCAGTTGTGCGGAACAATGAGCTTGTGGAGACATTTCCGCCTCAGGAGGATTTGAAGAAAGGTGGAGAGGCGCATTTTTGAAGAACTCATGTTCTGGGAAAATAAAGTAAATATATTTAGAGATTGGGAATCATTTGAAGCAAAAAAAAAGACTTTGCTATTGCCAAAAAAAAGTCTTAAGAGAAATGTAAAATGATATTGTTTAAATGGAATAATTGAATGAGGATGAAAGATAACGGATGTATAACTTTAAATACAAAAGAGGAGCTTAAAGACAATAGCAAAGTTATCGGGCAAAAGTATTTATAGAGAAGGTAAAGCAGGGCGCATTCCGGAGGGAATGAAACTAATCTGGAAATGTCGTGAAGTTCAAAATGGAAAAAGAAAAGCATTCTATATTGCTTTATATTCAGATGTATATCATATTAATGTTTTTTTATTCATCGCAGTAGAATAAATTATGCAGAGTAAGATGACAGTTCATGACGAAATGACGAGAGATCAATAATTGTAAGTAATTATGAAAGCATAATAATTGATTTGAGCATTAAATAAACTCATTCTGGAATTGATCTCTTTGCTAATTTAGCAATCTTATTTTTATGCTAACAAACCGATCAAATACACCTCATTAATAGAGAGATTGCTAGGATAGCACTGATTTCTTATAATGTTCATATCAGTTCACAGATAAATTATATTATCTCCAAATAACTTAAACAAATTTTACATTATCAATGTAACTAGATATTAGATTAAAAATGTTTCATTAATGATAAGAACTATTGTTATGAAAAGTAAAAAGAAATATGGAAAACACTTTTGCGCTTCTTAAATTTTGCAAGCAGTGCAAAAGTGATAGTAAGAACATTCAAGATCTTGAAGTATTTGCAAATAAATTTCCTATTTATTTCAAGCAAATGTTGCTTAATTGAGATCCATTGCCATCATTCGCCATTATCTTCGTATCCCAGTGCTCTTCATCCTAGTTCTACGACAACATTTCCAATAATAATATTATCATGACTGAGAAATTCAAGCGCAACTGGCCACCTCTACCCAAAGGATTTCTATCGCAGTTCTACACCGTGTCAGATGCTTCACTCCAGTTGTCGCATTACCTTATGAAAACGCTGGATAATGCATCCCCAGGAGAATTAAAATAAGAAGGGTAAAGTGAACTTGCTTACTGATGATAGCCGGTGCAAGATTCTATCAGAATTACTTACTGATTGAAATGTGAAACTGTATGCTTGTCGACATTTTGTAATGAATCTCCTAGCAGACTCGTTACTGCAATTGCATTTCATACAGACATTGAATTTCAACAACCAAATGTAACTTATTTTTATTCGTTTTAATATAGTATTCACTACAAGCACCTAAAAAAAATTTCTTGAGGCAAAAAGTAATAGTAAAACAGAAGACCTCTTCTTTTCAATAGTTCATTAACAGTTAGCGAAATATTGTAGATTAGATCAAAACAATTTAGGCTATCGAATTAATTGTCATCTTGTATCTAATCTGATTATCTTGTACAATAAATTAGTTATTTTCTGTGACTCTAATTTCTTAAACTGAACAATTCGATTTGTTTATTTTTGAAAACCTAAAAACGAGTAAATGAAATAAAACAATGAGAAAAAAAAAAACACATGCAAAAACAAACGCACACAAATAGCCATTTACACTATCTTTTGAGAAATTTGGACAGTGTCGGTAAAACAGTTCATTACTAGCCAAACTCATTTTGTTTATATTTTTATTTCAAAACATCATCATTTTCTATTCTCATTCCTTTTTTTATAAAACAATGAGATAAAAAGTGTAATAGGGGAACATCAGGGAGAAAGAAGAAAGAGAGAGATAGACTATGAATCATATAAGGCAACAAACACAAACAATGCCTTGAATCTGAGTTATTAAACAATTTAAGGATCTATAATACGCCCATCTTCTATTTTAGTGCTAAATTCAAAAGTGTTAATTTATCTGAAGAACGAAGTGCCAATGTAAGTCGGAGGAAGGCAGCTAATAACCCTAACCATTTGGACCAGAATGATAAAGTACGTTTCCATTTCGGAATAATAATGAAGGCAGATTATTACGGTATTAATCAAAACAGCACTAACATCTATCAGGTGATAATACACTGTGACAACGTATCTGTTTGAAACCAAAAAAGAAAATTACATTAGTAGCTATTGAACTATTTCTATCATAAAAAAAAAATTTCGAAAATGATTTCATTCATCGATCTTAAACAGCTAATGCGATTATTGAAGTCTAATTTCTCTCTTTTATATTAACCGTGCTGCAAAAAAACATTTAAGTTTCTCGAATATTATTCCTGCTTACTTGTTATTTTGAAACTTTTTCACTTATCTAAGCAAGTGGGGTTATTTTATGCTTGGAATGGAGTGGATACTTCATATAATGAATTAAATAGAAAGTTGTTTTGCTAGAATACTCCATTTTTTCCCACAACAACTGTAGATATTGAAATGTGAAATTTTTATTCAAAAAACAAACCTAAATAAGCTTACTTTTGATTGAAAATTGATGAAGTTCGGAATTTTTCCTATAATAAAACAGCATTTCGAGATTATTGAAGGTATCATTGATATGGAAGCCTCACGCACATGTTAATCTATTTATAACTTCCACATAATTAAGTCTCGCAAGCAGGAATTAAACTCCAAACAGCAACTTTGTATAATCTTCTATTTTAATCCGAATGCTAATTATGCTTTAAACATTTGATTCGTTATCATGTACTTAACATTTTTAATGGCTAATATTTGCAGGTCGTTTAGCTAAATTATCATCTGGTCTGATGTAATTAGTGGAAGGACCTCGAAGTCCTCTCAAATATTTATTATAAAAATAACTAAAAAGAGCTCTTTCCATGAGTTCGAATTAAAAAACAATAGCAAAAAAAAAAAAAAAAAAACAAAACAATTATCATGCAAACATTTTCTGTTGTAAGCTTGGTAAACTGGAGAAAGTAAAGTTAAAGCTGTTGTGAAGTTTATCTTTTCAAAACGAAATTTTGTTGAGTTACAATAAAGTATCCGGTAAACCAGTGAAGAAATTTATGGTAAGATTCAAGAAAAAAAAATAGTAATTTAGGATTTTTGCCAAGCATCTTGCTGAATCATTAATTAGTCTAAGATTAATCACTATTTTCAAATGAAACAAAGATAGTACCGAAATTAAATTCAATTCAGATTAAATTCAGATTAGTTCGAACATCATTAGCACATTTTTTTTATGTGGGCAAATTTTTTTATGACTTACTCAATGCTTCTCGCTATCCCTCCTTCCGAAGTTAAGTTCTTACCATGCACAAATGTTCATTATTTTTGAAGAAAAACGAATTAACCAGAAAGTCAAATTTTTTAATTGACAAAACATTCTGCTTAATAAATTGATAAGTCTATTGTTTGTTTGTTTTTTTTTTTTTTAAGAAGAGAGAAAACAATTGTAGACCAAGTATATCTAATCAAAAATAGCAAAGGGAAAGTGTTGCAGTATTTTTCTCCATTGATAGCAAATTCTTTTTCATTTCACTCAGAAATATAGCTAGCAAATAAATGCCCAATATCACATAGTAAGAAGTGTAACACGCAACGCTTAATCAACGCAGTGCATGAAGGATGTAAGGAATGTGAATGGAAAAGTTAAATTGAACGCTTATTTAGAAGAGAGAAAATTTATGTTGCTGATTACATCCGTAGGATCACTGATACATGCAGGGAAGCTTGTCGAAAATGTTTTGCAATGAGTTGCACGAAAGGAAAGCGATGCGAGGATTTGCATGCATATAAGTATTAGCGTTAGATCTTTTAATTTCAAACTTCTGCATTGCACTGTAACTTGTATGTAGATTAGAGTTGGCAGAGAAAGTTTACTGTTAAATGAACATTTTTTCTTTTTTTCTTTTCTCTAGGCTTTTCTTCAGAATGACTTTCCTTTTCCACTTTCTCAATATATCGGTTTTTTAATTCTTTAAATTAATATTTGCTTTATCAGCTGAAGCTGATAATATTTCAAACCACAATATTGTAAGAATTCACCTGATCTCTAGATATGATCAGTGGTATGCGAACAGCCTGCAATATAAAGTAAATGAGTTTGAAAAAAACGAAGAATTTTTTGCGGCTCACAAAAGAAATTACAAATTTTATGCCTGACTAAAAAGAAGAATTAAATTTTCTCTGGTTTTTACGACATTTAAAATGACACAAACTATTACATAACTTTTAAATTCCATTGAGAACAAAGTTGAAGTCAGGAATAATTCAAATGAACGGTGTCGTTGTCATAATTGTTCGTACATCATTTTTTTAGAGTATCTTAAGAAAAACCACTATAAGATCCTCTTTCTTTCTTCAGAAAAAAAAATCAT